TATTTGGACTTTGTCAAGTAACGTGTTTATTAAATCACGTGACCTCAGTGACACAGTTATCTTAAATGAAAGAAAAATGTTCTTATTTGTATGTATTTTCTTTCTGATCTTCACAATCTTTCTCTTCCAAACCACTTTCAATGTTAATTGACTAAGTAATGAAATTTAGCATCAAGCTGCCGTACATTCATCCATATATAGCATCATATATATGGATGTATTATCTACCCGTGAAGATCCGGGATAGAATAGGTCTTCAGCAACCATGAGACGACTAACGGGTTCGGATGGTCAGGCTCGCTGACTTGGTTGATGCATGTCACCGTATCTCAACTGCGTAGATCGTTGCTCGTGATGTCAATCACTGGATTGTCTGGTCCAGACTCGATTATTTACAGACCGCCGTCATATAGCTGGAATATTGCTGAGTGTTGCGTTAGACAACGAACAACAAGTATTATCAAAGTAGCATGATATACACACATGTATTGTTATGTGGCAGACATATATTGTAAGTTTATTTCGGATGATTGTTGGTGGCAGTTAATCACTGGTAAGCCAGGATAAGGAAAGCTGTGACTAGACAATTAACCCCGTATGACTATGTATATATGGTCCGCTCACGGGCTCGTACCATTGTGAAGAAAGGGTTAGCGGGCGGTCCGCGTCAAGTAGTACGATGGATATGCATGTGCGTGTCCAGTCTCGGCTAACAACGAGTTCTAGTGGTGAGTTCAATAGTCTTATGAGCATCACGTGTGTCCACGGGAGCGTAATCAATTTCGTCATGACCTGCACGTGTATAACATGCGTACACCCTCTCTACCTGTAACAAACCAAATATGTTTACCTAACTTCTGTGCACCGTCTACTTGTCTGAAATCCGTTTTGTGAGTAGGTTCAACTTATCATGGTTAACCAATAGACTGACCCCTTAGCTGTTTACAGCCCAAGCTCCGTGCCAGTGCTTGACACCTTCGTACCCTCCTGATATAGAGAGAGCTCCACTGTGAGAAGCTTATTCACAGTTTGCTGATTGCTGATTCAATTCCGGGACTCACAACCCCATGGAGCCGCTTCGCGAGGTAACAGTTTCTAGAAGGCTAGCTGTACCTAAATAAGAGCGATTCGATACCTCCTCCTACGATATCACTTGCGACTTAACAACTTGCCCAGTGCGGACGGGATATCTGTTTGAAAACACCATTATATATATATATATATATATATATATATATATATATATATATATATATATATATATCATGTTATACATACTTGTATTGTATCGACCCGTGAAGATCCAGGGTAGAATAGGTCTTCAGCAACCCATGCTTGCCGTAAAAGGCGACTAACGGGATCGGGTGGTCAGACTCGCTGACTTGGTTGATGCATGTCATCGATCCCAGTTGCGTGGATCGATGCTCATGATATTAATCACTGGATTGTCTGGTCCAGAATCGATTATTTACAGACCGCCGTCATATAGCTGGAATATTGCTGTGTGCGGCGTTAAACAACAAACAAACAAATCAACCATACTTGTATCACCAAGCTACGGTATATATCCATATACAGCATGCAATATACATACATGTATCACGAAGCTACGGTATATATCCATGTACACTTGCTATACATACACGTGTCATCAAGCCAGGTATATATCCATATACAGCATGCTATATATATATGTATCATGAAGCAACGGTTTATATCCACATATAGCATGCTATACATACATGTATCATCAAGCTACGGTATATATCCATATACAGCATGCTATACATACATGTATCATCAAACTACGGTATATATCCATACATAGCATGATACAAACCATCTCGTAACTTTACCATGCTGACAGAGATACATTGACGTCAATCCACGATGATAAATACATTGTCAAGGTAGCCTCTGTAAAAAATACAGGGCATTAACTTATAAAAACAGATAGTATTACTCCAGGTTAGAATTAGCTTTCAGCAATCCATGCTTGTCGTAAGAGACGCCGACTTGATTGGTGCATGTCGTCGTATCTCACTTACGTAGATCGATGCTCATGATGTTAGTTACTAGATTGTCTGGTCCAGACTCGATTATTTACAGACCGGAGTCGTACAGCTGGAATATTGCTGAGTGCAGTGTTAAACAACAAACAAACAAAACATCTTCTGAGGATGAGGCAATAGATACTTCGAGAACAATACGCCATAACTGTTATCGCATAATCTCATGGAATATGCGGGGTTTTCTCACTGTTTGTTTGTTGTTTAAAGCCACACTCGGCAATATTCCAGCTATATGACGGCGGTCTGTAAAATAATCGAGTCTGGACCAGACAATCCAGTGATTGACATCATGAGCATCGATCCACGCAATTGGGATCGATGACATGCATCAACCAAGTCAGCGAGCCTGACCACCCGATCCCGTTAGTCGCCTCTTACGACAAGCATAGTCGTCTTTTACGGCAAGCATGGGTTGCTGGAGACCTATTCTACCCCGGATCTTCACGGGTCGATGTCAGCTTGAATCATGCTTACAGGTTATCTGAACCATAATATACACGTAATATGTGACCAGTATGGTTTGCCTACATAAAGTAAACTTGTATGCAGATTAGACCGATCTTCACTGATCCCTGAAATCGCCCTTTCAACCGCGGAAAGTATTAGGTTCAGCCGACGCCATATCACTATTCGCGTACTGAATAGTTCGCGTTTGTTTTGTCCTTTTGTCATGGTAGAATGGAGAAAAAATACCGTGTCTTCACTTTAGAGGTTTGGAACGTTGATCTAATACCCGTAAATTTCAATGGAAACCGAACGCGATAGAGTTGTATATCTATGCAACCTAGCTCTACATTCAAATCACAATGTGTTATCTCCTTCGTAATTGACGTTGTATGCTTCAGTGAAGACCGATCAGTTGTTTCAGTTATAAATCAAATTGAGTAAACAACCTAGCTGTACATTCAAATCACAATGTGTTATCTCCTTCGTAATTGACGTTGTATGCTTCAGTGAAGACCGAACAGTTGTTTCAGTTATGAATCAAATTGAATAAATTAGGATAATAATGCTCATGCCACGTTTTTTCCCCATTTTGTAAATAGGGATCTGGAAATATTTTATATAATTACTTTTTTTTTGCAAGAAAAATACTCATACACCGTTATCGATATTCCTGGGTCCCGTTTTACAATGCGACCTAAGTTTACGAGTATCGTATACAGGTCTATCGCAATGAATAGGTAGATAAGTTACTATATATCCGGGCAACAGTCGTTATATGGAACAGGGCTGAAGTTCATTTGGCTGGCAGTTCGTTTTTTCCTATTTTTAGGTGTTCTAAGTTGGACCGGATGGCTTTTCGATGTGTATACACCAGGAACTTTGTACATTGCTTTTTGTATATACAGTTCCCAACACAATTTTGTATAGAGCGTAATTTGGCACTTAACTTGACAATAAGATATTTGTTTTAAAGAGTGACATTTTGAACAAATCCCACTCTGATTTTCGTCGTATACGATTGCTGTACTTATTGTTTATATTTATGTACACATATATCGTTTTGTATGTATTCCCACAGAAATACGCATTTGGCTTTGTCCTTTCGGATAAACGTGACAGCGTCAGGTCTGTCTATTTAAACTTCTGATTGTTTGATGTCATTGATAGGTACATGGCGTGGATTCATTCATGTCTCACGTGACACCTGACCCAGTTATGTCTTACATACATGGAGACTTTTCATTCAGCTCCGCATGCATGAACCACGGGTCGGGCGCTTCGTGAGTCTCAAGGCTATATATAGGCATGTAGGTATAGAAGAATACTGCTATATATAGGCTTACCAACATTCACATGACATGAAAAGTCAACTGAGAGTGCGGGAGGTCTGGGTTGTGTTTGTCGAGATCAAAAAGATCTAAAATCTGATTATGAGAGAGAGAGAGAGAGAGAGAGAGAGAGAGAGAGAGAGAGAGAGAGAGAGAGAGAGAGAGAGAGAGCTAGTTGATGAGTAAGTGAGTTGTGTTCAACCCCGCTTTGAACATTTCGTTTGACACAGGGCGTTGACACAGTTTGGTGTAGAAGCACCAGGTGCAGTTTAGAAATATTTAGAAATGCAAGTACTTACAACTAGACTTCTTGAGAGTTTGAAGAGGTATGTTGTTTCGTTTGTTTGTTTCATGTTGTTTAACGCCGCACTCAGCAATATTCCAGCTATATGACGGCGGTAATAATCGAGTCTGGACCAGAAAATCCATGACATCATGAGCATCGATCCACGCAATTGGGATACGATGATATGCATCGACCATGTCAGCGAACCTGATCACCCGATCTCGTTGGTCGCCTCTTACGACAAGCATAGTTGCCTTTTATGGCAAGCATGGGTTGCTGAAGACCTATTGTGACCCGGATCTTCACGGGTCTTGAAGATGTATGTATGATGTATGACGCGAGATACTGTACTGAATGACAACCAGGGTATTTTTACATAGCAAACTTGATAACCTCCACATCAACAAGCAGTAGCAAGTCCTTTCCTATCTCATGTAATGTCTCAAATGTTAAACGTTACTGTGCATGTGTACAATGCGAGCCTTTCAACACGTTAGGATGTTACATACAAACCATGCATGAGAGAGAGAGTCACGTTAGGGGCATAAGTCGCTAATTGATGAGTGAGTGAGCTGTGTTTAACGCCGTTTTGAACATTTCAGTTGACACAAGGTTTATGAGTGTCTATGTTTGTTGTTTAACGCAACATTCTACCTGTGCGACGGCAACCTGTAATTAATCTGGTAAAATTGGTACATTTTTTCATCTGGTTTTTACGTTGTATCGTATTCAAAAATGAAAGGGCACTCTGAGTCCCCATGGGCCATTGCAAAACCTCTGTAGCCTTCACAACTGCAAACATTTTTGGCAGTTATCAACACGATGTCACATAAAACAAATAAAAGAAATGACAGTTCCCCTTGTAGCATGCACTCCACTCACTGCAGTCCCACGCCCATCCCACCTAAGCGTGCAGCATCACCTGGCCACTCCGTCACCTTCACATCAGTTCCAGCGACCAACCTCACACACTGCAGTCCCACGCCCATCCCACCTAAGTGTGCAGCATCACCTGGCCACTCCGTCACCTTCACATCAGTTCCAGCGACCAACCTCACACACTGCAGTCCCACCCCATCCCAACCTAAGCGTGCAGCATTACCTGGCCACTCCGTCACCTTCACATCAGTTCCAGCGACCAACCTCACACACTGCAGTCCCACGCCCATCCTACCTAAGTGTGCAGCATCACCTGGCCACTCCGTCACCTTCACATCAGTTCCAGCGACCAACCTCACACACTGCAGTCCCATCCCATCCCACCTAAGCGTGCAGCATCACCTGGCCACTCCGTCACCTTCACATCAGTTCCAGCGACCAACCTCACACTCTGCAGTCCCACGCCCATCCCACCTAAGTGCAGCATCACCTGGCCACTCCGTCACCTTCACATCAGTTCCAGCGACCAACCTCACACACTGCAGTCCCACGCCCATCCCACCTAAGCGTGCAGCATCACCTGGCCACTCCGTCACCTTCACATCAGTTCCAGCGACCAACCTCACACACTGCAGTCCCACGCCCATCCCACCTAAGCGTGCAGCATCACCTGGCCACTCCGTCACCTTCACATCAGTTCCAGCGACCAACCTCACACACTGCAGTCCCACGCCCATCCTACCTAAGCGTGCAGCATCACCTGGCCACTCCGTCACCTTCACATCAGTTCCAGCGACAAACCTCACACACTGCAGTCCCACGCCCATCCCACCTAAGCGTGCAGCATCACCTGGCCACTCCGTCACCTTCACATCAGTTCCAGCGACCAACCTCACACACTGCAGTCCCACGCCCATCCCACCTAAGTGTGCACTACCTGTCTACTCCTACTCCGTCATCCTCACCCCACCTCCACCCCCACTCACTGCAGTCCCACCCCATTCCACCCATGTGTGCAACACCACCTGTCCACTCCGTCACCCTCACCCCACCCCAACTCACTGCAGTCACACGCCCATCCCACCCATGTGTGCAACACCACCTGTCCACTCCGTCACCCTCACCCCACCCCAACTCACTGCAGTCACACGCCCATCCCACCCAAGTGTGCAACACCACCTGTCCACTCCGTCACCCTCACCCCACCCCAACTCACTGCAGTCACACGCCCATCCCACCCAAGTGTGCAACACCACCTGTCCACTCCGTCACCCTCACCCCACCCCAACTCACTGCAGTCACACGCCCATCCCACCCAAGTGTGCAACACCACCTGTCCACTTCGTCACCCTCACCCCCACCCTCACCCCACTCACTGCAGTTCCACTCCCATCCCACATAAGCGTCCATCACCAGCTGTCCACCTAATTAATTTCACCCCCAGCCCCAGCGACATAATCAGCCCGGCCCACCTCTACTCATCTAACCACCCCACGAATGTCTCCTCACCCACCAAAGTTTCCCCTCATAACTTTTAATTCTTCAACCTTCCTGCTTTAAGTGCTTCTCTTTCACTTCACATCATATTTTATACCTTCAATATTTTTCTTGATCACCTTTTTTTATTCAAAAGATTATAAATCACTCGACGAGATAAACATGTCATTTGACGAGAAAATATAGATAACCTCTATAAATAACTTACATATCGTGACTATGCCGATGTCTTTGGGTACTGAGAAGACGAACACAACAAATATATGACGAACAAAGTGAGAGACCACATTGATTCGTAGCTGAAGATGAAATATCAATTTTCATAACCCATTAATCCTATACAATGTATTCGACAATAAAAAACAATTAACACATTCAGACTCGTAGAAAACGTATTATTATACTGCTATTTTATGATACAATACTTGTGTTATAACCCATTGTGTTTTGAAATGACGTTCACGCTTATATTTACAAATACTCCATATACCCCCCTCAGTCTAGTTATACCTACATATTTATATATACTTATATACGTACTTACAACGATCACAGACGGTCCGGTAGTCCCGCTGATGATGTAACACAACACATTGTTCAATGGTACTGTCTACACGGCAACTTTTAATTATCCTGGCGACGCCCCTTTCTATGCATACCTGGTATGTAAGCTGTCAGATTCCCGAAACGGGTGAGCTGTTACAAATACCATACTGAAGCTGTTCCGCTTACCCGGTCCCAACCCCGCCACGCCCTGCCCAGTCCACGTGTATGAATCAGTGTGTACTACTATACAACACATAAATATATGTAGCAGGGCGTGGAGTCATCCCACAGATAACACCCTTACCTTGTCAGCTTGCTGACGGGGTTAACCTCTTTGGTCATGAGGACAAGGCGCCCGGCCTCTGATCAGAAGGTCCGTGGTTCGAATCCCATCACGGGACTCGGAAATTTTATGGCCGCTACATTGGCGCCCAGAGTGGGGCTGTGCACGCTCATATTAATTTTGAGCAAAATAAGCCTCAGTACCCCACTATGCGGGCCGGGACGTGCCTTCTGTTGACGGGGGAGTATGTAGCAGGGCGTGGAGTCCCAGATGGCATCCTTACTTTGTCAGCTTGCTGACGGGGTTAACCTCTTTGGTCATGTGGACAAGGTGTCCGACCTCTGATCAGAAGGTCCATGGTTCGAATCCCATCACGGGACTCGGAAATTTTATGGCCGCTACATATATATGAAACATTTTGTACAACACGAAGCAGGTGATATGGAATGCCCTTGATGAATAATGTCCACACTCAATGTACATTTCGTCAAATGGTCGTAGATGAAAAAAACATACTGTGTTTTCAATGTAGAGCTCCAGCTCTATCTTGTCCCCCAAACTTGAAATACATTATCTTAGCAGATTTTTGCGTTTTCTGCGCAGCATGTATTGTCACACATCCTTCAATATCGTAGTAACCGCAACTTTGCATTTTGTAATCTGTGCATTGTGATTTGATAACCTCAAATTGACCTTTCAGAATCGAGTAATCTTCAAATTAATGGTACACTATTGATGTATCGGTCTCAAAAATTCTTACTACTGCTTTATTTAAAATATTGTGTGTTTTTTACAAAATAAACCTACTACTTTCAGATTGCAATTTTTCAAATTTACAAGTGGCTAATAAGTAGACCTTTCCGCTTTCAAAACAAATGTCATCCAGTTTATATTTCCTGTAAATGTAGTTTTAGATCGTGGTTTTAATGTTCTTTGTTTTTATAAAATGAAGGAAGCTTGAAATAAAATTGGTTTCAATGTCACAGAGGCTTGAAGTAAATATATCGGAAGCGATTCTTGGGAGTCCAACATCCAACAAACAGAACCAATAAAGAGCACCCATGGATGTAGTTTAGGCATAACGGAGTTACTTCCCTTGGTTTAAGCAGCGAAGGGATTTTTTGGATTGTTCGATTTAAAAAAAACACAAACAACGATTAAAACGTGCCCAGAAAATGAAATTCAAGCTATTGAATAATGAATAATAATTGAAGCAGCAACACACATTGCACACTTCAAATTAATCATGGTCATCGAAATTAACCTTAGTGTCCGTCTTTTAGATACGATTACGTTGGAATATCTTTACAAGCTACATATATACTATAGTTAAACATTTCCTTACGATCTTTGAGTTAGTAACACTCATCCTTGATGCACACTCCAGGCATGGATACAGCTAGTGAAACTGAGTGAGTATGGTTTTAAGCCGCTTTTCCAGGAATATCACGACGAAGAACACGGGAAACGGGCTTCGGACAGTATCTATATTGGGTTATCTCATATAAAGGTGTATATAAACAAAATATAGAAATAAATCCTAATGAAGCCAAGACCAATGCGTTATTTCAGGGCTTAGAGTTTAGGCAATCTAGACTTTACTTGGATTCCTCTTTTTATGGATACTCTAGGGTCTGGGGGATAGACTATTAGTGTACCTGATCAAGTATAGATTGTCGCAATGTATAAATGTTTATCGATTGCGCCGGTACGGATAATCATGCAAGCAGTGTGTCGTTCGTCTGGCTCGATAAATAACGTATTATATGATGGCCTATATTACTAATTAATAATTCGTGGTGTATATATCGTCATATCGTCAACCACGTGAGAGCCTGGTAGTGTGATATGAGCAGCCATCTCCTACACTGGTAGAACAGTCGGTGCAAGTTCAGGTGAATTTAACGACACAACGTTACACGAATGAGATTCTTCGGCCTCCTTCCCATTATGTAACAAGCGAACGACATTTTCCAACAAGACAACGCCCGACCGCAAACGGCAAGACTGTCAACAGCTTTTTTCAGGGATCACAACATCCAGGTCCTGCCATGGCCCTCCAGGTCTCCAGATTTAAACTAAATCGAACATTATGACATGCACGGGATCAACGACTACAAGCACGTCAGCAACAACCACAGAACCTCCGACAGTTGGCACAGTTGGCAAGTGCTGCAGGCAGCGTGGGTGAAAATTCCTCGGGCCACAATTCGGGGTCTGATTGCTTCCATGGGACGACGATGCCAGTCAGTTTTTGGACTTTAATGGTGGCCACACAAGACAGATGACCATCACCTTGAAAACTGTTCCATGTGTGCCATGTGGTGATTATGTATATGATATATAACACGTACATCTAAAATCGTTTTGCGTTTCTTTTTTTGCAGAGTATATTTCACCTGACATATAAATCATCGTACGCCTGTTTGAAGCATATTTTATACTCACCGTCAAAAAGAAACGCGAATACCATACTTGTTGGTCAGTATATGAAGACTTACTCTCATTCGTTATATATTAGATTACTTCGAACGAACCTGGTATGTTGTGTTCACCGATGCTCATGAACCTATCATATGTGACGTCATAGATCCATGACTCGAGATGCATAATTTGTCTCGTGCATTGTAAGCGTGTAAAGTTTGGAAATCACGTGCAGCATATCCTGATAACACTTAAATGATTTTTTAGTTTGGTCTTTTATTAGTACACATTGGAAACATCTATTCTTAATGTACATACTTCTCTATATATTTCTATGGTTCCCGTTTCTTTTGGCGATGAGAAAATGTGCCTATTTGATTATTCCACATTATCTTGTCACACAAATTGATTGTTTGATTGTTTAAAGCCGCATTCAGCAATATTCCAGCTATACGACGGCGGCCTATAAATCATTGAGTCTGGACCAGGTAAACGTGTGATTGATGGGCAACGCCGTGTAGGTATGATAACAAATCGAACCTGACCACCCGATCCCATGACGAGAAGTTTGGTTAGCTGGGGACCTAATCTAACCCGATATCCCCACGGTTGCATACATCGTGAACTAGTTGTGTATATGGATCTTAAGGCGGTCGGGTAGCCTAGTGGTTAAAGCGTTCGCTCGTCACGCCGAAGACCCGGGTTCGATTCCCGACATGGGTACAATGTGTGAAGCCCATTTCTGGTGTCCCCCGCCGTGATATTCCTGGAATATTGCTAAAAGCGGCGTAAAACCATATTCACTCACTCACTATGAATCTTAAACGAAGTGCACTTTTTATGATTGGCTGAGATGAACAGCAGAACGCGTGTCTGTATGGTGGAATCGTCGGTAGTGTTTTTTTGTGCATGATCCGTATAAGGGTACCGTAAATCCTTTGAATTATGTTTGTTTGGTTATATACTGAGAGGCATTAAAACGCATAATAGTTTTTTTTTGTCACTAAGTATGTTTTACAGCTTTTACTTTTGCAAAATCTATAATAGGTTGAAAAGACATTGTTAACAGCTGCATAGCTCCGATGGTTAGGTTCGAACGTCATAGGCCGACAGGAAGTGTTCTAGACTATCCACGTCCGGGAGCGCCTCGTGTGACGTCACAAAGACAAAACCAGTACATTGTCGTCAGCCATCTTAGGAATCGCTTCAGGACTACAAGAGAGATTGCTAATGCAACGATAGGAATGTTTGTTTGTTTGTTGTTTAACGCCGCACGCAGCAATATTCCAGCTACTTGACGGCGGTCTGTAAATAATCCAGTCTGGACCAGATAAATCCAGTGATTGACATCATGAGCATAGGTCCACCTATTTGGGATGTGATGCCATGCATCAAACCAAGTCAGCAAGCCTGACCACCCCGATCAGGTTAGTCGCTTCTTACGACAAGCATAGTCGCCTATTTACGGCAAGAATGGGTTGCTGAAGACCTATTCTACCCCGGATCTTCACGAGTGGCAACGATAGGAATGAGAGGAAGGGCCCAACAGTGACGGGACAGTCCGACGTCGCCTTGAGCACGTCACATCCGATGACGTCGACCCTATCGTGGACATATCTTTACCCATGCACATCGCCTGCATCGTCAACGTTGGGCAGGTGCTGGAGGTCACTGTGGTGTCAGACAGTGGAGAGACGTCATTGTAATGTCATTTCCTTTATCTAATGTCATGTTTTGACATGAAAATTATATCTGACCTTTTTTTCCTGATATGCTTTTTTTTTATCTTCTCCCTCGCGGTGTATTTTGGAAGGACATTTGACACGGGGTTTACAGGACATGAGTTTTAAAGAGAGGTGTTTGCATCAAGTTATTTAGGTATTGTTTCAGATGTCTCTTTTTCCGTCTAAAATTTGACCAGGCCTTAATTCTAGGTAGGCGATTGATCAAGGCGGGTGTTTATTAAAAGATTGACGGTATCTGTCAGCTTGTTATGTGTAGTATTTGTACAGAAGCTGTTGTAATATGTTGGCGTGAGTGAGTGTGTATGGTTTTACGCCGCTTTGTAAATATTCCAGCACTATCACGGCAGGGGGCACCAGAAATGGGATTCACACATTGTACCCATGTCGTTAATCGAACCAGGGTCTTCGGCGTGACGAAGCCATTTGGTGGGGTAGCCATTTAGTTAAAGCGTTCGCCTGTCACGACGAAGGCTCGGCTTTGTATGGTTTTACGCCGCTTTTTATCAATATTACGGCGGGGAACATCAGAAGCGGGCTTCACATATTGTATCAATGTGGGGAATCGAACCCGGGTCTTCGGCGTGACAAACGAACTCTTTAACCACTAGGCTACACGACCACCCCCATACCACTGGAAGATCGCTAAAAGCGGCGTAAAACCACATGTGGAACTAAACACATATATGATACGTTGATAAGTGAGTTCTTCATATGTTCGGTCTGGCTAACTACAAAGGATGTATAACCTACCCTTAACAGGTTTGTAGGTATACTCAACCGCAAAAGAAACGCAAGTTGTACCCTTAATGCGGATGACGTTAAGACCATAGAGGATATGTAGATAATACTAAGAAATGATAACAAATGGGCGTTGATTGTTTGATGATCACCATCCGTGATTATTGAAAAATCATCCCGAAAACAGAAACATGACAAGTGTCAATAGCCTCCGTTAGCTGCGATACAGGTCGCACATCGCCGTTTCATTGAATTGACAAGTCTTTGGAAGATGGATTGAGGGAACCCCATTCCATTCCCGCTCCAAAAAGACTTCCAGTTCCTGAAGTGAATGTGGCTGCCTTGCAGCCTGAAGACGTCTCCCAATCTCGTCCCAGACATGCTCAATCGGCGCCATGTCTGGTGACAAAGACGGACATGGCATCACAGGAATGTTATTCACTCGGAGGAAGTCCATAGAGACCCGAGTTGAGGGCCCAGGAAGAATGGTCTGACGTGATTACGAAGAACATCATCCCTGTACACGACAGCAGTCACGTGTAGATGTAGGGGGGTCCTGTGATGAAGCCTCCTCCCCACCGGTCGGCCTGTAAGACACAGATGTTAGCATTACGCTCATTACGTCGTCTCCACAATCGACCATCGGTTGAACCTTGATTCGTTTGAGAAGACAACTTGTTGCCACTGTTGACGTCGCCAACGCAGGTACTGATGGGCCCACTGCAGATGTTATTGGCGGTGACGTTGAGTCAGTATGGGCCCGACGAAAGGAGGACGACGTCTGATTCCCGTCGCTATTAGACGGCTGACACGTCATGACGTGGACCTTGAATGGTTGCAGCTGGCAGTGTTTATCGTCGCAGTCGGTCACGCAGATGTGTCACTCGGATGTAGCGGTGCCACGCTGGATCAGTGGCCCTCGGAAGTTCAGAACGAGGCCGGTCTTGGACACTGCCTGTTTGTTGATGCCTTGTGACCAGACTGGTGATGGTAGACACGTGACATCCAAAGTGCCTCGCCACTGCAGTTGACGTTGATCCGGCCTGTAGCATCCCAATGGCAACCGTGTTTCCTATCCTTTCTCAAAGTCGAGTGTGAAATGTGTTTGTTTTTTATATAGTGGCTTATAAAGGATTGGCAAGGGGGGAAATGGAGGCATTTTTGCATGTGATTTTCGCTGCAAGTGCAAAAAAAGTCAAACAAAACGAAACGACTGCGTTCCTGCGACGTGCTCATAATGAATGATGTAAATAGTGAACTGGGTTTCTTTAATGCGTGTCTTTACGTTTGTATAAATTTCTTTTCATAAATTAATATTTTGTGCATTTCACAAACCAAAACCTTGACTTGCGTTTCTTTTGCGGTTAAATATATTAAGTGCAAAACTGGGGTAGACTTTTGGTTAGCCCTCTGGATGCCGAGTTTTTTTTCTGACGCATATTTTCAAAAGACCTCAAAAACGGAGGTTGTGCGAGAATTGCGCTCACGCGGCACTGGATCCACCTCTGGCTATAAAATTACGCAGAGGTGGAGAATGTTAAATTTCCCATTTGATGGTGTAAATTTAACTGCAAATATTAAATCGGTAAAAAAAAGAAGACACTTCTAAGTGTTGTCCGAGAATTTATTCTGCGTTGAAAAACAGTAAATTTCTCCGCTTTTTTATCGTACACCGACAAAAGTACTGTGCGACGATTTTTTTTATTTAGAAGCTTTACGGAAACTGTGAGCGAACAAAATACACTGTACTGCCTAGTATCTGAATATATCAAATGGAGTTATATGTGTATGTATAACGACATACATTCAATGCCAAAAATAGCACGCTTTTTCGACGCAACATAAAATGACTGCTTTCACCAAGTAAATAATGTATTGAATATTTAAACAATAAGTTAGTTGATCGTGTATCTTAATTGGACAAGACACGCTCCTGTTTGGCATCAATTTACGTAATGAAATACCCAAAAGTATATTTCAAAACAACCAAAATTATATTCAATATTGGACATATATTTGTTCATTATTATGTTATTTTTTCTCTTCATCTATGGGTTCGATTCCTGGTTCGCCCCGATTATGTTTCTAGGTTTGTCAGCACCATACCCGTGCTCGTGGGTTTCACCGAAGTGGTAAACCCAGCTCACTCACACACTTTGAAATATTACAAAAATGAGCCCAGAGACTTTCCTGGTACTGCAGTAATCTAGATTTGTCAAATACTACAGACTTGCATGGGCTGTATTGGCTATATTTGTTTCATGGTCGGACAAAACAAATGCATAAAAAATGCGTTATAATTAAATGAAGCGCACATAAAATCTTCATTACTGACCCGTGAAGATTCGGGGAAGAATATGTCTTCAGCAACCCATGCTTGCCGTAAAAGGCGACTATGCTTGTCGTAAGAGGCGACTAACAGGATCGGGTGGTCAGGCTTGCTGACTTGGTTGATGCATGTCATCGATCCCAATTGCGTGGATCGGTGCTCATGTTGTCAATCACTGGATTGTCTGGTCCAGACTCGATTATTTACAGACCGCCGTCATATAGCTGGAATATTGCTGAGTGCGGCGTTAACCAACAAACCAAACCAAAACCAAGAAAAAAAACTCTTATCGAGGATTGTTTTTCTTTCGGAATATAGCTGAATTCTGTTGTTGAAGACATCACCTACTGGTGTGACGCAGAATTTGAGTTTAGATTCGCTCATCCGTTACAGAATGCCAGGCCGATGACGTAATGGACAGTTTCAGTGGAATCCACAATTCATCCATTATGTGACAAACAGGACGTGACGTCACAGTTGAGTGAACTCTTTAACGTCGTTCTTCTTTTCGACCTTTACGTATTCTCGTGGCACAACGATGAACGACTGATCTTGAACTGGAAGGATGGAAACAACATAAAAATTAAAAGTTATAAGTGTAAGCTGCATGTATAACGAATTAGTGACAGAAAATACTGAAATAACTCATCATTACTACAAGTATTAGAACAATAATCATCATTATCATTGATGAATGAATGTCTACTACTACTACAACTACTACTACTGCTACTACTACTGCTACTACTACTACTACTACCACTAATACTACTACTAATACTACTACTAATAATAATCAACATAATATTCACATGGATCTCGTTAATCCCCTACCTTTTGTACGTTAATGTTAGGATATGCTTTGCCAGTTAATATTCTTCTCAAGAGAAATTATGGGTCACCCGATTCGTTCATAGACAGCCATGACAGATTAAATATGGTAATATGAAAGAATCGGGTGATTGTGTATTATATGTAGGAGGACTCAACCCATGCTTGTCGTAAGAGGCGACTAACAGGATCGGGTGGTCATGCTCGCCGACTTGGTTGATGCATGTCATTGTATCCCAATTGCGTGGATCGATGCTCATGATGTCAGTCACTGGATTATCTGGTCCAGACTCGATTATTTACAGACCGCCGTCATAAAGCTGGAATACTGCTGAGTGCGGCGTTAAACAACACACAAACAAACAAACAAACAAACATTGTATAATTCAGCTATAGATGCGCTTAAGATGTTGAGTTTCAACTTACGTAGTGTTTGCACGGCTTCTTCCATCGTGGGTACACCTCTATAGGGGTTGATGGTATACTTGTAAACGAGAGATGCCACCGTCCCCGCAAGTATTGGCCCTGCCCAGTATACCTGCACATAGTTGCTATTCGAGTCAGTCCACAGTTTATCAAATTATCTCTGAAACCATTAGGCGGTGTGCTAACTGTCCGTTAAAATAAGAGTATCACAACATATGTCAACTTAGCATCTTAATTCGCGGATCGCTAGATTGATACATGATATAAGGGGCCACTGACATCTACAGTAAACTAGGGTTATAACGAACTCAAATGGACAACTGATTTTAGTTCCTTATAACCGTAGTTCGTTATAAGCATATATACAAAATCTATACAGCAAATGGCCAGGACCAAACATTAAGTTCGTAATATCCGTCAGTTCGTTATAAGCGTGTTCGTTATAAACGTACTTTACTGAACTATCAAATGTATAGAATATGAAACTTTATGCAGAAAAATAAGAAAAGAGTCGCATGAAACATGTCAGATTCCTTCTTACCTCGATAATATATCATACGTGCTGTAGTGTGTTAAGTACACGTGTGTGTTGTAGTGGTCGTGTGTGCTGTAGTATTTTTTGTGTTTGCTGTAGCCTGTGTTGAACAGGTGCCGCAGTGGTGATGTACCATCTTCCCGAGGCAAGGGCGTTAACTGACTTTTAAGACGAGTCTCCACCCTTAGCGAACTGGGCTGGAATTTCCAGGCTCGATCGTAGCGCCAACAGAGGCTATTACGAGTTATGTCCCTTCTATGTCCTTCCTATTGACCAATCAGTTTCCATCTCTCATATCACTTGCATTTGCTTCGAACAAAATGGCGGCGCCCAGTCAAGACGATCTGATCGATTATCAAGAACTTTATTACCAATCTAAGTGCATCAAATCACTTGAGCACCTTGATTAAAAACATGAAAAAATTTGCAACATATCTGTCGACGCCCAGTTGGCCCAGTTGCAAATCCTGCAGTCTACCAAAATCTGCAGTTGAAATCTGTTTTATTTACGAACCGGGTGTCTAGTTCAATACGCCATTTGGCCTATGCATTGACTCGTTAGTCATCCGGAAATCCGGAATTACAGCCTCGTTCGGCAAGGGTGGAAACTGGACTTTTATAGTCAGTTAACTCCCTTGACTCGGGAAGGTGATGATGTACATGTGCTGTAGTCTGTGTTTGTTGTTTAACGCCGAACTCCAGCTATATGACGGGGTCTGTAAATAATCCAGTCTGGACCATACAATCCAGTGATCGACATCATGAGCATCGATCCACGCATTTGGGATACGATGACATGTTTCAAACAATTCAGCGAGCCTGACCCCCCGATCCCGTTAGTCGTCATTTACGGCAAGCGTGGGACACTGGAGACCTATTCTAACCCGGACCTTCACGGGTATGTGATGCACATGTGTTGTGTTGTGTGGATGATGTGGCGACCATACCCAGTGGTCCTTCCAGAAGTTGATGGCGACTGCTGGCCCCAGGGACCAAGCGGGGTTCATGCTGGCTCCGGTGTAGGAGATCTGGGGACAAAATATACGGTACAGTTAGAAGCACAGATGACACCAGCTCACAGTTAGGTGGCACAGAGGAAACCAGATGACAGACAGGTGGTAAAGAGGATACCAGCTCACAGACAGGTGGTACAGAGGATACCAGCTCACAGACAGGTGGTACAGAGGATACCAGCTCACAGTTAGGTGGCACAGATGATACCAGCTCACAGACAGTTGGCACAGAGAATACCAGCTCACAGATAGGTGGCACAGAGGATACCAGCTCACAGTTAGGTGGTACAGAGGACACCAGCTCACAGTTAGGTGGCACAGAGGACACCAGCTCACAGACAGGTGGCACAGAGGATACCAGCTCACAGTTAGGGGGCACAGAGGATACCAGCTCACAGTTAGGTGGTACAGAGGACACCAGCTCACAGTTAAGTGGTACAGAGGACACCAGCTCACAGTTCGGGGGCACAGGGGATACCAGCTCACAGTTAGGTGGCACAGAGGATACCAGCTCACAGACAGGTGGTACAGAGGATACCAGCTCACAGACAGGTGGTACAGAGGATACCAGCTCACATACAGGCGGTACAGAGGACACCAGCTCACAGATAGGTGGTACAGAGGATACCAGCTCACAGATAGGTGGCACAGAGGACACCAGCTCACAGACAGGTGGTACAGAGGATATCAGCTTACAGACAGGTGGTACAGAGGATACCAGCTTACAGACAGGTGGTACAGAGGATACCAGCTCACATACAGGCGGTACATAGGATACCAGCTCACAGTTAGGTGGTACAGAGGACACCAGCTCACAGTTCGGGGGCACAGAGGATACCAGCTCACAGTTAGGTGGCACAGAGGACACCAGCTCACATATAGGAGGCACAGAGGACACCAGCTCACAGTTAGGTGGCACAGGGGATACCATCTCACAGTTAAGGGACACAGGAGGACACCAGCTCACAGTTAGGGGACACAGGAGGATACAAGCTCACAGTTAGGGGGCACAGAGGACACAAGCTCAAAGTTAGGTGGCACAGGGGACACCAGCTCACAGTTAGGTGACACAGAGGACACCAGCTCACAGTTAAGTGGTACAGAGGACACCAGCTCACAGTTAGGTGGCACAGAGGACACCACCTCACAGACAGTTGGCACAGAGGATACCAGCTCACAGATAGGTGGCACAGAGGATACCAGCTCACAGACAGGTGGCACAGAGGACACCAGCTCACAGTTAGGTGGTACAGAGGACACCAGCTCACAGTTAGGTGGCACAGAGGACACCAGCTCACAGACAGGTGGCACAGAGGACACCAGCTCACAGTTAGGTGGTACAGAGGACACCAGCACACAGTTAGGTGGCACAGAGGACACCAGCTCACGGTCAGGTGGCACAGAGGATACCAGCTCACAGTTTGGGGACACAGAGGATACCAGCTCACAGTTAGGTGGTACAGAGGACACCAGCTGACAGTTAAGTGATAAAGAGGACACCAGCTCACAGTTAGGTGGCACAGAGGACACCAGCTCAGAGTTAGGTGGCACAGAGGATACCAGCTCACAGATAGGAGGTACAGAGGATACCAGCTCACAGACAGGTGGTACAGAGGATACCAGCTCACAGGTAGGTGGCACAGAGGACACCAGCTCACAGTTAGGTGGCACAGAGGATACCAGCTCACAGACAGGTGGCACAGAGGATACCAGCTCACAGATTTGTGGCACAGAGGACACCAGCTCACAGTTAGGTGGCACAGAGGACAACAGCTCACAGTTAGGTGGCACAGAGGATGCCAGCTCACAGACAGGTGGTACAGAGGATACCAGCTCACATACAGGCGGTACAGAGGATACCAGCTCACAGTTAGGTGGCACAGAGGATGCCAGCTCACAGACAGGTGGTTCAGAGGATACCAGCTCACAGACAGGTGGCACAGAGGATACCAGCTCACAGACAGGCGGTACAGAGGATACCAGCTCACATACAGGCGGTACAGAGGATACCAGCTCACAGATAGGTGGCAGAGAGGACACCAGCTCACAGTTAGGTGGCACAGGGGATACCAGCTCACAGTTAGGTGGCACAGAGGACACCAGCTCACAGTTAGGTGGCACAGAGGACACCAGCTCACAGTTAGGTGGCACAGGGGATACCAGCTCACAGTTAGGTGGCACAGAGGACACAAGCTCACAGTTAGGTGGCACAGAGGACACCAGCTCACATATAGGTGGCACAGGGGATACCAGCTCACAGTTAGGTGGCACAGAGGACACCAGCTCACAGTTAGGTGGCACAGAGGACACCAGCTCACAGTTAGGTGACACAGGGGACACCAGCTCACAGACAGGTGGCACAGGGGACACCAGCTCACAGTTAGGTGGCACAGGGGACACCAGCTCACAGTTAGGGGACACAGGGGACACCAGTTCACAGTTAGGTGGCACAGGGGATACCAGCTCACATATAGGTGGCACAGAGGATACCAGCTCACAGACAGGTGGCACAGAGGACACCAGCTCACAGTTAGGGGACACAGGGGATACAAGCTCACAGTTAGGTGGCACAGAGGACAACAGCTCACAGTTAGGTGGCACAGGGGATACCAGCTCACAGATAGAAGCACAGCAATCAGATTTTTGTTCTCGCAATCGCTAAGCAAAGATCTTAGGACATCCCATTACGGGTAATGTCAGAACGACCTTACTTGTCAACCATACTCTGTATATCACTTGCTTGATAACGGTGTTAGAACCTACGTCGCTCTTAATTGTAATAAAGAAGTTTTTCATCCATAAATTCTCATACTTACTGAGGTATCTGTTACCTGATAGGGTCAAATATCACGAGAGAATATCGACGACCATTCAGCCACATGTATCAAGTATCAGACCACCCAGTTCTCTTACCATTCGTTTATACTAGGAACATAGATATATAAGTCCCACCGTCAGTCTATGATTTGAAATGCGATCACATTTCCATCTTGTCGTCTTTCAACTACTGGCCGCGACCTAACAAATAAGTGCAAGATATCACATACGAAGAAACAACATCACTGATACCAGGACTCATCAAATAAAAGCTTACCAACAAAGAAGCGGACATATTCGTCATGAGGCCTGACACACTGGTCGTATCTGGTTTTGCCATGTGTTTATGTACGGATTTCTAAGACGAATAATTTAACATTAGGTTTTGGTAATGACCTCAATTACAGGTGAGGTGAGGTGAAATGGGGTTTAACGTCGCGTCCAAGATTATTGCACTTATGTAGCGACGTGCAGGCACGTGTGTGTGTGGCTGCTTGTACTAGTCCAGACTGATGCCGATTTATAGTGCTAGCACACTGAGATTCCATGCCGCAGCTTAACATGAATACCCCACTCAGACACAGTATACTGACTCCGAGCCGACCAGTCCTTGTTTTAGCCCCTTAATGCCGAGCGCCAGACAGGGTGTCGCCTTACCCCTGAGAAGTAACAACAAGTACCATCTTTTAACGTATTTTGGTATGACGCGGCCGGGGATCGAACCCCGGACCTTCCGCTCTCCGGGCGGACGCTCTACCACAAGACCACGGAGGCGGTCAGTCCGGGTTTGATGTTCAACATGGGTAATAGTGTGAAATCCATGTATGATCCACAGACGCTATATTTATATGAGAATGATTAGACTTATCTGTTAACGCACCCGTGACATAGCACGCCCCTAAACGCATACACCCCATAGTGGCCCATACTCTCTCATGAAATGTCCACAACAACAGCGTCGCCTTACCCCTGAGAAGTGCAGCATGCCGACAGTCAGACCTATGGCCAGAGAGTGACTTCCCATGTTGGGTTTGTTGGGGTCAATTGTGGCGTGAATGGTCATGATGAGGGTGAAGGCCAGAAAGAACTCCACGACCGCCCCCTGGAACTGCGTGATCCCGAGGTCGGTGTTGACGTACGCAGCACCCAGGTAGCCCCGGTGCAGCTCAGGTGTGACGCTGAAAATAGTGTACCAGTCGTTTTACTGTACATAACGTTTAGGAGGAAGTCTGTGTATGCGAGGTCTTTTCCCGACTCATGACACATCTCTACTTTCAAAATATTACAAAATATTTTCAGGTGGAAAAAATTATAAAAACAAACCATTTGTTGTTTGTATTACTACTGTCTGAGTAGTCCTTGCCTGATGCACGTGGAATATATGCTCTGCTGCTGCAGCACGTGCCCCAGACTCGGTCATGAGCTGTCCTTAACAATGCCTAGTACAAGGCTGCTTGCAATTCACAGAGGTTCTGAACGAGTGAGTTTTTTGTCAATCTCTTGCACGTTTTGAGAACACGGGGCTATCTGAAGTGAGTGAGTGAGTGAGTTGGGTTTAACGCCGCTTTTAACATTATTCCAGTTATATCACGGCGTGTCAGCTTAATGTGGGAGGAAAGCCCGAAGTGATGCAGGTCTCAGACGTTTACCACTTCGGTGAAACCCACGAGCACGGGTATGGTGCTGACAAACCTAGAAACATAATCGGGGCGAACCGGGATTCGAACCCACACTCATAGGTTTCTGGCGTGCCCAAGGGACGCAACTCTGCGCAGCGAATCGCGGCGCCTTAGACGACTGGGCCAGCCGTGCCCCCGGGGGATATCTGATGTACATGTAATGTGATATGGATTTATGACAAAATGTTTTTGGGTAAATCGGTTACATTGATATTTACTGTGCCACAATGATATTCTGAAAGATTGATCATATTTACAACAAGACATCAGACGCACCATCAACGCCGTCACCATCAACCATCTAAGGGAGATAATCGTGTTGTGATATGATAATAATAAGTAAGAGTAAGGTCCCTTGTATGAGCTCCATGCAGTGTTATCTCAACTCTCTAAGCCATTATTCACGCACTGACAAGGAGCTTGAGAATTTATGGGTATCTCCCTTGCTACAAGGTCGAATGACGTTAGGATAGCGTATAGCACACAGATTATTTTCTTAACACAACTTTTTTGAGATACAATCGAGCATGCTCTTTCTACCAAGATTTCAAAAGGCGTCATACGAGTCTTGCGCAGAAGTTGTTTGATCAAGGTTACAACATTCACGGCCTCATTAAAGCTTTCAAAAAGTTTTATGGTAGGCATGTGGAGGACATTTCCAAATTTGACGCATCAGTGACAAAAATGATGCCCGATGCAATTCCCTATTATGACTTGTACCGTATGTTCCCATGTTTTTTCGGGTGAACAATTGACTAGCCTTTGCATGTGTTTGTGACAGGTGCCACCGGTGGAGCAGGATACGCTCACCTTTTCGCGAACTCATTGTATCATTACTATTTGATAGTTATTCATAAACACATGCTCATGATATAGTGGGAATCGTACAATCGACTTTCTATTGGATATTGAAAGGGTTTTGTCGCTTTATCAACACAGTTACTTCTATTTGATAAAGTACAACGCAGTGTCTAAAGTTTGCATGTTGACCTGAAGGACACACTCGGGCGCAGTGGTGACTTAGCATAACTATATTGGCTGCCGACCGCAAGGGTAGAAGTATGCCCGAAGGGAGCTTTACAAGGACCGTAACTCCGTTTGAAACTACCTTGTAAACTGGTTCCAGTGTTGGTACGTGCCGCAAGTTGTTCGCTTTTAGCCAGACTGGAGCACAGTCTATTTATCAAGCTGGAACTACTTCCCTTTGACCACAAACTTTACCGTAAGGAATACAATCAATTGAATTTTCTCCCTTTGGCCATGACAAGCTCCTTCCCAGCACATGAAGCGTTCGTTACTTTCTCGGTAACATCGCTGCCATCAGCGTGGAAGCGGCCATTACAAGAATCTTGAAATTTGCCCTCTCGTCCCAAATGAAATGACATTTATATTTTTGTGTGTGTGTTTTGGGAATGCCATCACAGTGCGTTTTGAAAAGGTCTGACTTTGTTAAACTAGATCGGTTCGAGATTGCAGACTAACAGAAAAGCTTACCAACTGCCCCCTTACATTCTCACCATACCCTTTACACGATAGTTGAAATCAAATAGAAATTCAAATTGACTAACAAAGGAAATAATATTATTTAGGTGGTGGAAGACAAGGCTCGTCCCATTCGTGACCAACTCGTGTTATTCCGGGACAAAACACATCGGCCCTAAGTTATTTTACGTAATGACTGAACACATTTAACTGTATCTTGGGTATATTTTTAGATACAAGACGTATGTAAAATCAGGGGGGCACGGGTGGCCCAGTCGTCTAAGGCGCCGCGATTCGCTGTGCAGAGTCGCGTCCCTTGGGCACGCCAGAAACCTATGATTGTGGGTTCGAATCCCGGTTCGCCCCGATTATGTTTCTAGGTTTGTCAGCACCATACCCGTGCTCGTGGGTTTCACCGAAGTGGTAAACGTCTGAGACCTGCATCACTTCGGGCTTTCCTCCCACATTAAGCTGACACGCCGTGATATAACTGGAATACTGTTAAAAGCGGCGTTAAAACCCAACTCACACACTCACTCACTCACTATGTAAAATCACATTTGTTTCCTGAAGGATTCTCTCTCGAAGACAGAGCAAGCCAATCAGAATGCGCGTAAGGATATGAGTACTTCGATCAATAGAATCCCGAGTGTTTAAAATAACTTTGGCAGTATGCGTTTGATTAAAAAAATGTGGAAGATTGAAGATTGTCAGTTCCATACCACAGTGTATACATATAACAGAAATGTGATAACTTCAAACCTTCACGTGCGTTTGTTTACATTCAGGAAACGGCTCACTTGGCTGCGACATCCGTTCATTTGAGCTATATAATACGACCTGGCTTTCAAAAACGACACTTCGTGTAATGTCCCATTGCATATTATACCAAGAAGTAAAAAATATATGAAAGTAATTAATTCATTACCGATTTCAAAACATATTATTCACGTTCCTGTTAAACTCTTTATGTGATAATGTGTTGTGGATATTTTTGGCCATTGGCGATTTTTATAAATGTAGTTGTAATTAACAGACCAAGATAGCCAATGCACCAGTAAATACATAAAAAAACCGGCGAATACGTGTGGGGGTTCATGGGATTTATTCTGTCTGTAGTTCAATCGGTGACATGAAGATCCCAGCACAAGAAACACGGAGAGATGATGGGGATATACACTAAACATAATAAAGCAACATAATGTACCAAATGATTACACTTATGAATTACATGTATTTACAAATATGACTTGTCAGACATTGCTTTTGGGTATAAATTTAATGTATACCAGCTTGCAATTACATCTAAAGAGACAATCCACGTCCATAACCAGTGCTTTAACAAAGATGTTTATTTTCGTTTTAATATATATTAACGGTTGGTTTTGGAGAGTTGGCGTAGTTATATTAACAAGAGATAACTGAACAAGAAAAGTACAGGTTGCTAGAAAAATATCGATTCCTCAATAAATATTCACAACTACGAGATGGTTGGAATACAACAAATCATAAACGCAAAGATACATGTATATGTCAGATTCGAACGAATAACATTGTTCTTCGAAATTTGGAAAAGAAAACTCTTGGTGAAGTGAGGCTATCCTAAAAAGATCAGAAATTGTAATGTAATAAATATTATGGGTTTTAATTTACCCTGGTGACATATATTCTGGTTTATTACCCACGTGGTGAAGATACAGGTGGTAAGATACTAAATCCGTACGTCACACGTGTGTCGTACAAGGTTGACCTTGTTTTATTCGTTTTGATTGGATAACCGTGACCTCTGTCACTTCGGGACTACTTTTTTCATTCATAAAAAATCGCGAGACGTCATTCATTTTGCGATTACAAGGCAGAACTGAAGAAATTCATGAGAACGAGAGATATTTACAAACACTTTATTAAACCAAACAAGATAGTCACACGCATCAAATTCGGTTTGCATTCTATATAAGTTATGCATAGAGGTCCTACAGACATATAATCGAGCTAGATCTATAAATCGATTTACAATGTACGACCGCCGATCGAGCGCGTCCCTTGAGCGTGACGCACCCGACCATTTTCGCAACTTTCAATTTGATTTAACGTAAAAGGATAGGCGTGGTGAAATGAAGTCTGTTTAAACTATCTGGACAGATATCTAGACTTACTTGGGATGATCCAGTTGTGCCATCGGTGTCCCCCTTGAAGCGTATTTTGTGGCGCTGTTTCGGGAGGTGTTGTTCATGAATGAACGAACACGACAGCACGACCAGATCACTTAAAGTTCACAGTTCCGATACAAATCATTCGAAAACTCCGTGGAAGTGTGCTTGACTTCTGATTTTGTGGCCCCAAACATCCCAAATGTGAACAGTAACATTCCCTATATCTAGCGTAAAACGCTGTGGGTGGATCGCGGTTGTCTTTTCTTATTCTGGTGGCGACCTTGCCCTTCGATCGTTCGAAGCTGTCACTGACATGCAAGCAGATTTGAGTTTGTTGATTTTCACGTCTTCAGTAAATAGGGTGGTACAGTTAACATGAATGTCTTTTGCGAACAGTCTGATTTCCCTCTTCCAAAATGGTACGGACATGATATAAATTCAGCTGATAGATCAAGGAAACCGAACCATTTTGATTGCACAGACGGCCATTGCCATCGCTTTCGCTCGGTCAGATACCATAGAAAGTCCACTCGTTTCGTAAAAATGGTATCTAACGAGAATGAGTGTAGTATTCTCTATTTATTAAACCTGTAAGAGACTAGTTATGTTACACACAATTTAATTTATGTTATATCCAGCACATATTTTGTACTCAGCTACATGTCTATACAATACACTGCAAACACGGAAACGTCGTTTTTTTCCGTATATGGTCATTGGATGGAAAAACGACTAAAAATTCATTAAAATTGATTTATTGGTGAGCGTCTAGAAAGTGTGCAGAAAAGGGTCGAGTTTTTCAAGCGTAAAATGGACGGAAAAACGATGCTTTTTGCTCCGCCTTGTATAACTGTTAACGGCCAA